AAAACCGGGAATGGACACAAGACTTGGAGCCATGGCCTTACCTTGATCCGAGAGAGGAAGATGCAAACCCAAGCTGGAAACAACCTCCGCCGTCTGCTCCACGTCTCTTGCCTCGGATACCACAAAGCTCCCCAAAACAATGGCGGGAGCCTCCTAACATTGGGCTTGACTCAACAACCAGATGAGGTCATTCTGGTCACAAAAGCCACCTGTGTGTTTGTGGCTCCGGTGTTTGCCCAGGACCAGGTGTCTCACACCAAACAATGCCGAGCGCCGGACAAAGGAGAGCCAGCATGGCGGAAGGAGCCGTCCTTTGAGTTCTGGATCCTAGAAGAGCAGTCTGATCAGATATGCAGGTGACTTCCCTCGTTCTGGACACTATCCTCCCATGGATGCAACCTAGAATCGTGTTGGCCTTTTTAGCTGCTGCATCATAGTCTTGGCTCACATTCAGCTTGCAGTTTACTAAGCCTCCAGGCTGCCTTTCACATGTGAAATAGAGCCATTTAAAATGGCCGCGGATAGTGAGAGTTGAGCCGCGGATGGCGAAACCTGAACCGCAGATACCGAGACCTGATACATGGTTACCGGTATCCGATATGTGGTTACCAGTACCAGCGACAGTCCGCCCAATATTTTGAAATTCCCGCTCCCGTCCAGCTGGACCTGACATCGCAGTGATTGGCCGAGCTCTGATGATGTCAGAATAGCTAATGAAGGATTCCCCGCAGAGGCGGGACTGTGATGCCCGCCAGCCAATCAGAGAGCATTCCCTGCTCCTAATGCAGATTTCTGCCCTCCAATGGCTGACAGAGCGCAAAATGGAAACTTCACACAGAGGAGACGTAGTTTTATGGTTGGATTACCTTGTCCCAACTCCGGGACGAACAAAGTGGGACCTTTAGGTCTAATGTTGTGATTGTTGTCTTTATGAGCCCCAGCTGTGTGGGTCTGGTGCTTCCACTGTATTTTTAAACAGGATATTGTCCATGATGATAGGATTATGAATCCGTTCCTGGGAAAAAGGGGAAATTGCAATGTGGAAAGTGGGGTACCGGCCCCACACTTAATGGGACTCGGCATCCACACTTTTGGTTTCGCCATCCACAGCGAGGATCTCATCATCTGCAGCCGGTTCAAATTGCTCTATTTCAAGAAGAAGGAAATGGAGAAGAAGGAGAGGGAGGAGAGGATGAGAAGGAGATGGAGGAGAGGAGGAGAAGGAGATGAGAAGATGGAGAAGGAGAAGAGAAGGAAATGGAGAAGGAGAAGGAGGAAAGGAGGAGTGGAAGAGGAGAATGAGATGGAGAAGGAGAAGAGAAGGAAATGGAGAAGGAGAAGGTGAAGATGGAGGAAAGGATGAGAAGGGGACAGAGGAGAGGAAAAGAAGGAGAAGAGAAGGAAATGCAGAAGGAGAGGAGGAGAAGGAGAGGAGGAGAAGGAGAAGAAAAGGAAATGGAGAAGGAGATGGAGGAGGAGAAGGAGATGGAGAAGGTGAAGATAGAGGAAAGGATGAGAAGGAGACAGAGGAGAGGAGAAGAAAGAGAAAAGAAGGAGGAGAAGAGAAGGAAATGGAGAAGGAGGAGAAGGAGATGGAGAAGGAGACGGAGGAGAGGAGGAGAAGAGGAGAAGAAGGAGATGGAGGAGGGGAGTAGAAGAGGAGAAGGAGATGGAGAAGGTGAAGATGGAGGAAAGGATGAGAAGGAGACAGAGGGGAGGATGAGACGAGGAGAAGGAGAAGAGAAGGAAAGGCAGAAGGAGAAGAAGGTGAGGAGGAGGAGGAGAGGAGGAGAAGGCGATGTAGAGGGAGAAGAGAAGGAAATGGAGAAGGAGACAGAGGGGGGAGAAGGAGAAGAGAAGGAAAGGCAGAAGGAGAAGAAGGCAGAAGAAGGAGAGGAGGAGAAGGAGAAGAGAAGGAAATGGAGAAGGAGGAGATGGAGAAGGTGAAGATAGAGGAAAGGAGGAGGAGATGAAGGAGAGGAGGGGAAGAGGAGGAGAAGGAGAAGGAAATGCAGAAGGAGACGAAGGAGAGGAGGAGAAGAGGAGAAGTAGAAGAGAAGGAAATTGAGAAGGAGGAGAAGGAGATGGAGGAGAAGGAGATGGAGAAGGTGAAGATGGAGGAAAGGATGAGAAGGAGACGGAGGAGAGGAGAAGAGGAGGAGATGGAGATGGAGAGGAAGAAGAGAAGGAAATGGAGGAGAAGGAGAGGAGGAGAAGGAGAAACAGAAAGAGAAGAAGAGAAGAAGGAGAAGATGAAAAGGCGGAGAGAAGAAAAAGATGGAGGAGAAGAAGGAGAAGAAAAGAAGGAGAGAATGAGAAGAGAAAAAGAAGGAGAAGAAGAAAAGAAGAAGGTGGAGAAGAAGAAGTCAGCAACAATGATAAATATCCTGGACCTCGCTGATGGTATTCTGAAGAAGACTAAAAACTTGGATGTTCAAGCAGGCATTTGGTTAATTCGGTGCAATGAATGTGTCGACTACGGATTGGTAATATGGATGATGCAATTGGACCACGATTTTAGTTAGGAGATGTATTGGATTGTGATTTACGTGTAATATTGTGTATTATGTTTTTTATGGTTTTAATTGTATACTGTGTACTGTATATTTTGTTGTAAACCGCGTTGAGTCTGAGAAACGGCGGTATACAAGGACAGTAAATAAATAAAAAATAAATAAATGGCCATACAGCCCGGAACACTCACAGCACCCCAACAATAACAAATACTCCTAACAGATCTCTGATAGATTGGCATTGATAATGCAATTGTAGATCTTTTGGACTTTGTGATTCAGATGGGCACCTCCATGGAACCAGTTGCCTCACCTCCGAGGCCTTGATACTATCTGTAGTAACCTTAATGATTAGTGCAGGGCACCTCTCCCATTAAGCACATCCTGGAAGTGGGTCCAGATTGGTGGCTTGTTCCTCCCATTTCGCCGGAGGCCAAACCCTGTCATTTTGGTTTCCCTTCCACCTTGAGTGGCTTTGCCCAGAACTGGACATGGGGTTGTCCTGGGTGAGAAGGTCTGGCCAAGCAGAAGAAGGCTTCCCTCGCGGTCAACACTGCATATTGCATGGGCCTTTTGAGCCGCCCAAGATGGAGAGGGCAGGATGACCTTTGGTAAGGAAACCTTGGGAGAGCATGATAATTAAGCATCCCTTGCCGGAACTCCATCAGGCTGATGCTCGGTGCATTTCCACTCCTTGCATTTCAATTGCAGCTCATGCGCCTTCTGGAGGCGGACATGAAAGACGTGTTGAGCGCCGGATAAGCCTTTTTAATTGCCCGACATGTATAATTCATCGTGGGCCATTGCCAAACACATAGGCGTGCATGGACACGCGTGTGTCTTCAATTACACGTCCCAGGTCAGCTCGGAATTATCTTTTTGGCATTATATAAAGTTAGTGGGGCAACGAATCCGCTCCAGGTTTAGGCCTTTGCCGATCCCACAAAACTCAGATAGTTCTGGGTGGCTGTGGGTTTTCCAGGCTGGCCACCATGATTAGCATTTAGTGGCCTTGCAGCTTCAAAGCCTGGCTGATTGCTGCCTAGGGGGAATTTTACCAGTGTTAAAAAAAACTCTAATATCAGGAAGAGGGGCCGACCAAGGGCAAGATGGATGGATGGCATCCTTGAAGTGACTGGATTGACCTTGAAGGAGCTGGGGGTGGTGACGGCCAACAGGGAGCTCTGGCCTGGGATGGTCCATGAGGTCACAAAGAGTCGGAAACAACTGAACGAATGAACAACAACATTATCAGTAAAGTAAATAAAGAGCAACGCTCAAAAAAACGGGAATTCCAGACAGGAATCTATAAGGGACAGCTAACACGGCCCAACAAAGGTGCCCTCCAGGCAGCAATCAGCCAGGCTTTGAAGCTACAAGGCCATCAAATGCTAATCAAGGTGGCCAATTGTCACATTTGCACTTGCCTCAAACAGACAAGAGTTCTCTCCTATGCTGGACATTATTCCGCCGGTATATAGATGGCCATCCAGCCTCTGCTAAACATACATATCATAGAATCCTAGAGTTGGAAGGGACCCTAAAGGCCATCCAGTCCAATCCCTTTCCGCCAGGCAGGAAGACACCATCCAATCCCTCTCGACAGATGGCCACCCAGCCTCTGCTAAACATATATGTCATAGAAACTTAAAGAGTTGGAAGGGACCCTAAAGGCCATCCAGTCCAACCCTCTTTCGCCAGGCCGGGAGACACCATCCAATTTCTCTCAACAGATAGCCATCCAGGCTCTGCTAAACATACATATCATAGAATCCTAGAGTTGGAAGGGACCCTCGAGGCCATCCAGTCCAACCCCCTTCCGCCAGGCAGGAAGACACCATCCAATCCCTCTCGACAGATGGCCATCCATCCTCTGCTAAACATACATATCATAGAATCCTAGAGTTGGAAGGGACTCTAAAGGCCATCCAGTCTCACTCCCTTCTGTCATAAGGAAAAGACAGCATGAAGGCCTTCCGGAGAGATGACCATCCAGCCTTTGCTTCAAGACCTCCAGAGAAGGGAACTCAATCACACATCATCCAATGGGAGGGCCGTCTGTTGAGAGGGCTTTGACTGTGCCTTTCTGCCTGTCCGAAAGGAGTTGGACTGGATGCCCTTTGGGGGTCTCTTCCGGTGCTTTCAGGAGACCTTTGACCCCACCCTTGTGGATAATCATGCCTTGAGTCCCTGTTTTGTAACAAAAACAGGATGTAAACAAAGTGAGTAAGTAAAGTTATAAATCAATAGAGTGGTGCTTAAAGTGAATTAATCTCACAGTGTAGATGCATACGAGGAGAGGGAAATGGAGGTGGAGGAAACCAGATGAGCCCAGGAGGACATCCTTTCCATTTCCGGCCCGCAATGACGATCCCAATGGCTCTCTTCTTTCTCCACCCACTTTATAATTTTCTGCTTGTTCTTTCTTGGCACCCGGCAAGTTATTTAACTCAGCTCCGCAGTTAAATAAGGGAGGCTCCAGGGCAAAGGTCTTGTGATTGTGGGATCATCAGCCAGCCGGTGGCAAAGGACAAAGCTGCGGGCCTTGACTATCTTGGATCAGCACAAAGAGCCAGCAAAAGAACGCCTCGTAGGAACAGAACAGTCTCCGACACGGTGAGTTTCAATCCCATAGAGCTCAACCATAGGTACAACAGTGGGATAGGATGATTTAAGGGGGTCTGGATGGCCATCTGTCGGGAGGGATCGGATGGTGTCTTCCTTTATGGCAGAAGAGTTTTGAACTGGATGGCCCTGGGGGTCCTTTCCAACTAAAGAAACTAATATAGATTAATTAAGAGGCTGGATGGCCATCTTTCGGGAGGGATCGGATGGTGCCTTACTGTATGGCAGAAGGGGGTTGAACTGGATGGCCCTGGGGATCCTTTCCAGCTAAAGATACTAATATAGATTAATGAACAGAGGCTGGATGGCCATCTGTCAGGAGGGATCGGATGGTGTCTTCCTTTATGGCAGAAGGGGGTTGAACTGGATGGTCCTTGAGGTCCTTTCCAACTAAAGATACCAATATAGATTAATGAACAGAGGCTGGATGGCCATCTGTCAGGAGGGATCGGATGGTGTCTTCCTTTATGGCAGAAGAGGGTTGAGCTGGATGGTCCTTGGGGTCCTTTACAGCTAAAGATACTAATATAGATTAATTAACAGAGGCTGGATGGCCATCTACCAGGAGGGATCGGATAGTGTCTTCCTTGAACTGGATGGTTCTGGGCATCATAGAATCATAGAGTTGGAAGAGACTCATGGGCCATCCTTTCCAACCCCATTCTGTCAAGAAGAAGGAAAATTGCATTCAAAGCACCGTATGTGTGTGTGTATATATGTGTATATATATATATATACACACACACACACCTATACACATATATACCTACATATGTATACACACATATGTGCATATATACATGTTTTATGTATATATACACATATCCACACACACACATATATATACACGTATACATACACACCTATAAACATATATACTTACATATGTATACACACATATGTGTGTGTATATATATGTATATGTATATGTGTGTGTGTGTGGTTATGTGTATATATACATATGTTTGTATGTGTATATACACATCCACACACACATACATATATACATATATATCTACACAATATATATACATAAACTATATGTGTATATATACACACACATACACATCTATACACATATATACTTACATATGTAAACACACATATGTGTGTATATATATGTATATGTATATATATGTGTGTGTGGTTGTGTATATATACATGTTTGTATGTGTATATACACATATCCACACACACATACATATATACATATATATCTACACAATATATATACATAAACCTTATGTGTATATATACACACACATACATACCTATACACATATACCTACATATGGATATACACATATGTGTGTATATATATGTATATGTGTGTGTGTGGATATGTGTATATATACATATGTTTGTATGTATATATATACATATCCACACACACACACATATATATATATATATATATATATATATATATATATATATATATATATACTGTATGTGTGTATACATACACACACACACACACAGAATTGTCAGGAAAAGTAACTTTTCCAACCTGTGCCCACACACTATATATATAGAGAGAGTGACATATTCTGTATGTGTGTATATATACATACACACACACAGAGAGAATTGTCAGGAAAAGTAACTTTTCCAAGCTGTGCCCAGTTCTGCCAGAAACCCCACTGAAAGGGCAAGCTCTCTAACCCTCCCTCCTACTTGATTAGTACGCGTGCGCAAAAAAACCTCGCTAGTACGCATGCGTAAAACCACAGCTGCCCTTCTCTCCTGTCAGCTGAGGACTGTGTGGGACTTACCACTGCGGGAGGAGGGGGGGTGTTCAGCTGTGAGTTTAGACTTCCTTTGGAGGGGAATGGTTTCCCCTGGCAAGCCTTCGTGTGTATTGGGGGGAAAAGGAAAGTAAAGACGGAGGGGGGTGCAAAATGGGAGGGTGGGAAATGAAGTCGGGAGTTTGGCTTTTTGATTCCTTGCTTCCCCCCTCTCGGCGCAGTGGTACGCTCCAGAGCTGTAGCCCCGCCCACTGGGGAGTCTTGGCCTGGCTGAGAGTCGGCTGTTTCTCTCGCCACTCGACGGTCGTCCGCTTTGGCTCAGTGGAGCGTCTCCCGGTGAGGGCCCGAAGGGGGACAAAAGCCAAGCTTGGGGGTTCCGGGGGCATTTGGTTCCGGGGTTCTGCTTTGTGGGGAAAAGTGACTCAAGGGCTGGACTTTTGACCTAAAGGGTGGACATTCAGAGAGGGGAGGTTCATTGAGGTGTGTGGGGGGTGCCATTTATATATTTTGAGGGTTGTCTTAGCTATATTTTTTATATTGGGGAGTGTGCTTCCTCTATTCCTTCCTTCCTTTTGGTATTGAGAGAGGCCTTAGTTATATTCCTGGCTTCCTTTTTGTATTGGGGAGGGTCTTTGCTCTATTCCTTCCTTTTTGTATTGGGGAGGGTCTTAGCTCTCTTCCTGACTCCCTTTTTGTATTGGGGAGGGTCTTAGCTCTCTTCCTGACTCCCTTTTGTATTGGGGAGGGTCTTAGCTCTCTTCCTGACTCCCTTTTGTATTGGGGAGGGTCTTAGCTCTCTTCCTGACTCCCTTTTTGTATTGGAGAGGGTCTTAGCTCTCTTCCTGACTCCCTTTTGTATTGGGGAGGGTCTTAGCTCTCTTCCTGACTCCCTTTTGTATTGGGGAGGGTCTTAGCTCTCTTCCTGACTCCCTTTTGTATTGGGGAGGGTCTTAGCTCTCTTCCTGACTCCCTTTTGTATTGGGGAGGGTCTTAGCTCTCTTCCTGACTCCCTTTTTGTATTGGAGAGGGTCTTAGCTCTCTTCCTGACTCCCTTTTGTATTGGGGAGGGTCTTAGCTCTCTTCCTGACTCCCTTTTGTATTGGGGAGGGTCTTAGCTCTCTTCCTGACTCCCTTTTTGTATTGGGGAGGGTCTTAGCTCTCTTCCTGACTCCCTTTTGTATTGGGGAGGGTCTTAGCTCTCTTCCTGACTCCCTTTTGTATTGGGGAGGGTCTTAGCTCTCTTCCTGACTCCCTTTTGTATTGGGGAGGGTCTTAGCTCTATTCCTGACTCCCTTTTTGTATTGGAGAGGGTCTTAGCTCTCTTCCTGACTCCCTTTTGTATTGGGGAGGGTCTTAGCTCAATTTCTGGCTTCCTTTTTGTATTGGGGAGGGTCTTAGCTCTATTCCTGACTCCCTTTTTGTATTGGAGAGGGTCTTAGCTCTCTTCCTGACTCCCTTTTGTATTGGGGAGGGTCTTAGCTCAATTTCTGGCTTCCTTTTTGTATTGGGGAGGGTCTTAGCTCTATTCCTGACTCCCTTTTTGTATTGGAGAGGGTCTTAGCTCTCTTCCTGACTCCCTTTTGTATTGGGGAGGGTCTTAGCTCAATTTCTGGCTTCCTTTTTGTATTGGGGAGGGTCTTAGCTCTCTTCCTGACTCTCTTTTTATATTGGGGAGGGTCTTAGCTCAATTTCTGGCTTCCTTTTTGTGTTGGGGAGGGTCTTAGCTCTATTATTTCATTCCTTTTTGTATTGGGGAAGGTCTTAGTTGTATTCCTGACACCCTTTTTGCATTGGAGAGGGTCTTAGTTGTATTCCTGGCTTCCTTTTGGTATTGGGGAAGGTCTTAGTTGTATTCCTGACTCCCTTTTTGCATCGGGGAGGGGCTTAGCTCTATGCCCAACTTCCTTTTTGTATTGGGGAGGGTCTTTGCTCTATTCCTTCCTTTTTGTATTGGGGAGGGTCTTAGCTCTCTTCCTGACTCCCTTTTTATATTGGGGAGGGTCTTAGCTCTCTTCCTGACTCTCTTTTTGTATTGGGGAGGGTCTTAGCTCTCTTCCTGACTCTCTTTTTGTATTGGGGAGGGTCTTAGCTCAATTCCTGCCTTCCTTATTGTATTGGGGAGGGTTTTATATCTCTTCCTGACTCTCTTTTTGTATTGGGGAGGGTCTTAGCTCAATTCTTTCTTTCCTTTTTGTATTGGGGAGGGTCTTAGCTCAATTCCTGACTCCCTTTTTGTATTGGGGAGGGTCTTCACTCTATTCTTTCCTTTTTGCATTGGGGAGGGTCTTAGGTTTTGGATGACCTCCTAGGTTCCTTTTAATAACGCTGTGTGTATTTTAATAGATGTGTTTTAATTATCCCTCTGTTTACAAGCTGAGAGGAGAAGCAGATGATGGTGATGATTGACTAGCAATTTTGGGTCCCTCTCCCCATTTCCCCCCCTTTTCCCAGCCTTGTCCTGGAGGGGCAGGTTGGCATGTGGGTACTGTGTGGTTTTTTCAGCATTATAATAGTTTTTCATGGTTCTATATGACTTTGAAGTCTTTGTTTTTGATAGTTCTGCGTGTAATTCTATTCATGTGTTTATACATTGTGGGCTTTAAATTGGAATGTGTATTGTTTTGGTCTTTTTTGTTTTGTTTGTTTGCTGTCGTGAGCTGCTTTGGGCCTCTTTTCAGAGAGGAAAGAGGAGTGTAAACAATAATAACACTATGTAACATAATTTGGAAAAAAATAACTTCAATTCCTTGCTTGCTGTTGCTGTCAGTTTTCCGGGCTGTATGGCTATGTTCCAGAAGCATTCTCTCCTGAGGTTTTGCCCTCATCTGTGACCTCATAACCTCTGGGGATACCTGCCATAGATGTGGGTGAAACGTCAGGAGAGAATGCTGCTAGAACATAGCCATACAGCCTGGAAAACTCAACAGCAATCCAGTGATGAAAGCCTTCAACAACACTTCTGTTCCTGGTTTTAAAGTATTATTTCCTGTTTCATTGTTCTGTCCTCATTTTGAAAGTAGTTCTAATCCAGAAACTTTATTTTTTATGGCTGCCATAATTGGTTAAGATTCAATGAGATAGTCATTGAAAAACTAAAGCAAGATGTGCTGCTCTAGGGATGTCCCTCCTGCAATAAACAACATTTTTTGCAGTTTAGTAAACCTTTTCCATGTTTTTATGATCGCACCAATTAGGAGATGACATTGATAACCCAGGAACAAAAACCTGGGTTATCAAAGCTAA